ACCACGAATCTTCCTGGGGGTTAAGGGCGGCCGGCGCATAAGGCTGACAATCTTACCGTTATCTATGAGCCGATTTTCTATAAAATGTTTAAGCCTCAACATCTCACAATCCTATGGGCCCCCATGGCCTGTTACAGGGATAACTTTACTTTTACTTTTTTTATTGGAGGTGTTTAAAATTTGATTCCTGTAAGCATAATAAAAATATTGATACAGATTTTCATTGGTAACCTAGAGCATGGTTTCCAATTTACGATGTAATTTCTGCAGGAATTTGAAGTGTTCACTGTGTTCGACACCCACGAAATATTCATGAAAGATTGCCGTTTCAGTACACTGTGTTCAGTCAAAATAGAGGCGGCTGACTTAAGGTGGGCAAGGCCCTGGTCATTGTAGCTAGTATATGTGTGCATATACTGTACATATGCTATATACTGCCTGTATATCAACATGTGTTTCGGAGGAATCTTAAAATTTCTTAGCGTAAAGGTGTTTCCTGCTAGTGAACTGAGGTCTGTGAATTTTCAGCACATGGAGCTGGAGACTCTGTGAGAAAAAGAGTACATAACGAGAAATCAGAACCCCATGAAAGGGACTCAGCAACACCAGAGAAAGTTACAGAAGAAGAATTAAATTTTCGAAAACAAAGTTATTACACGGATATGGCAGCTCAGTAGCAAGTTTCGAAACAAAATCTCCACACGCAGAATATAAAATAGGACGCGTGACATGTTTTCGTATTGTTCTTTCGTCTTGCTATTTTATTTTCTTCTCTATGTGGTCTATATTTCTTGTTGAGAAAGTTTTTTGCTCTACCACGAAAAAATCTATAAAAAACTTTCGAAATTACTGAAGCAACTCTAGTATTGGTAAGCCGGCCGTTCAGTGGGACCAGTGTGATTAGACCGTACGCATATTCCGCGGACAACCACGTGACAGTAGCCAGGGAAAGAAATATGATGGTTATTTAACGAAGTTGTCAGTATCAAGTTATGTTGGACACTCAGATTCTGACAAATATGTTGACAGGCCGGGAAAGGAATGCAAATATTTTCACGTGTAGATAGATGTGTCGATAAACTGGGGGAGATAGGGGTGTTTTCATGTGCAGGTAAATATGTATTTAATATTTAATATAATTTAAATATGTAATAGCTTACATTCCAGAAAATAGCAGACTTCAAAATGCTAATATCGTTCACACAAATTTGGTCGGCAGCTACATATTGTAACCATAATAAAATAGTCCCATAGATTCTACAGTCTACTATGTGTGCAACCTGGGAAAGAGGCGGGGATAATTTCTTATGGGAAGAAACCCATTGGTAGTTGAGTAATGAAATAGGAACAGTTTCACATGAAGATAAATGCATGGGTAGTGAGGGAAAGGAAGAGTTTCTTATGCGAAAAAGCACGCGATTGGCCAGAAGGGAACAGGAATAGTTCCACGTGAATTCTAATAAGTGGATATTCAGGGAAGGAATTAAAACAATTTAATACTCCGATGGATAAACAGATAATCAGGGAAAGGAACAGAAATCATTCCGTATAGGCAAATATGTTAACAGGGAAGGAAAGATAAATACTTTCATAAGGGGAAATCTATGTTGATAATGAGGGAAACGCCTTTTCTCTTAACATAGATCTTTGGGTCAGACAAATGTATCTCTATAACTCTTCGGTGGTAGGCTTCTCTCTCTTGTTTCTTTAGGATGACAGTCAAGCAATTTGCGAGGAATGTGATTAGTGCCGTATGAAGGGGAATATAAAGACACTCAGAGAAACAAGAAAAAATATTTGCACACTGAAAGAAACATGTGAGTTAACAAGGAAAAGGAATAAGTACTAAATAATTATGAGGCTTTCATTTTAACCGTGTTAATCCGGATTACATTTTGAAAAGGGAAACAACAAACGCTACTTCCGTGGTTCAGTGATAATCAAGATAACTCGGGAAAAGTGTTCAAGTAATTCATTCTCTGACACTTCAGCCAGCTCATCAAACGCACTGTTGGCCACCTCTTCCAGGCTTACGCTAGCCATTACTGAGCACAGGTGCAATAGAAGGAGACGCGTTATATTGCTGACATGGAGTGCAAGACATTACAAGCTATCGCACTAGCAGAACAAGGAATGTTAAGGCACTTCAGTCCCTTATTACTCGCACAGAACTTCAGCAGCTGAAGCCATGAATTAAAAGTGGGACTGCGAAAAGCGTATATCTGCTAGACAATATCATGGTATTGATCAAGATTTTGGTCTCATTTTTTTTTTTAAATTATTGTTGGGTGCGATGGCTATCTAAGATAATATTTGTTATTATGCAGACTAAAGCACAAAATCTGTTGCTTTCCCAAATTGTGGAATAATTTTAGAGACAATTTTTAACTAGGAAAGCAAAAGTTTTGAAGAATCTGTGGTCAGAAACTGAGAGATGCCCACTTGCAGACAAAGAACATTAGTAATTGCCAGCAGAGAAAGTCAGTGGGAATAATTATTAATAATCAAAATTTCCTATCCCCGGTTTTCCTGTGAAATAACAGAGAATGTGCAGCGAGAGTTAAAAAATCGACACTCCGAAATTCTTATACTAAAATCATTTTCCCTCCTATATTTCGTAAATTTAAAAAATACCATAAGAATTTTGTAACTACTACTTCCGAGCAGCTATTAAAATTAAGATGGCAGTGTTTTAATCATTGTCTCCTGAAAAGTAAACGCTCCCTTATATATTCATTGAAAAATTTTAACTAAGTAACATCTCATACTTGCTTACACACTTCAAACCTGAGCGCTGCATTTCGAGAAGTAATAAAATTGTCTTCATTCTTATTAAGTAGGATGGAAACAAGCGCGTTTGTAGAGCGGGCTGCATATGGTTTGTAAAGGGTCCGCATTTATCTGTCCAGCCAGTGAAATCATCAGAAATTCAATAAGATAACATTGATAAGAGCTGAAGCAAATTCCTCAGAACTTAGGAAATAGTCGGAACTTCTGAGACTTTGTGATAAATATTTTCGTCGAAGAGAATCATCGAATGGAACTTAAGGACAAGACATAATAAAAAGGGAACATTAATAATTGTTAATACTTTTCTTAGCTCATATTTCGTTCCTCTTCTATTGTTTGACTTTCTTAATCTTTAGCTTAAGTTTGCATAGTTGTCTTCTACGATGTATATACTTAATTGCCGAAAGTTTCATGACTTTCCACTTCCTATGAGTTCGACTAAAACTTTAGAAGAAATCGCTCGCCGCCATTGGTAGAAAAATGTGAATACCTGGGTAGTCAGGTAAAGAAACAGGTAAAGTTTCGCAGATAGTATATTTCGCATACGACACATCTTCTTCTTCTTCTTCTTCTTCTATTCCTGTTGCCACCACTTAGAACATAGTGCATCCGTGAAACGCTTCGTTACACTTCAGTTTCTTAACCTAATACAGTCGGTAGGACAGCTTTGACGGGAATCAACCCGTTGCAAGGCTGCTACCTAACGCAAACACAGAATAAACACATGCAGACATCCATGCCTTGAGTGGAATTCGAACCCACGATTCCAGTGTTCGAGTGGGCGAAGTCATTTCATGCCTCAGACGGCGTGGCCACTGCGATCGGAATGTTGGACATTTGGGTGCAAAAATATGTTAAATACAACTGATAATATAAAGTGAAGCTAAAGAAATAACGCAGGTGCTTGTTCTTCACTACGCGATGTGTGAAACCTGACCTGGAGATATCGTCTACATAAAGAGCAATGTTGAGCTCAGGAAACGTCAACTTTTGTTGTTCAAAATTCAACGTCACTCGTGAATACGATTAATAAAGGGTTTGAGATTATCACAGTGCTAAGTTTTAAGAGTTCTGGCTTCTGAGATATAACGCCGAGCAGCCCGGTGAAAATAAACTGACGTTTCGGAATAACATATAGCCCCCATCTTCAGGTTAGAGGAGTAAGGGACGCACTGAAGCAGCACGAAGCAGAGAGCAAGTATATCCGGAAAGTTGATTGACTTTAAACGGACGACGCAGAGTTATGTCCCAGAACAAAGAAATCTTCAAAATTGTTGCATATTCTAAGAGAATTCGAATGCTGGTTAGATGTTGCTTGAACGTAACCACTTAACAAAAACCAGTGGCTATTCTGCTGAATTTTGGCGACTCCAAATGTGAGGGATTGTTAACACGAGAGTCCATTAAATTTCAGATTCACAACCCAAAAGTATCCCTTCTTTGACGTATTTTTACATTGTAATTTTAGAGAATAATATAAAACATGGTAAGAAACAAGCTAGTGTGTAAATGTGTAAGCTGAATCACATTGTGATGGATTCGGCCGTTCCTAGGAAACGAATATGTAAACAAGTTCCAACCAACGCTCATCAGACAAAAGAAGGACACCCATTGTCAGGCAAAGATCCAGTAAACACGTTACAACACAATATAAGCAGTGTTCTCTGTAGGTCCGTGCCGAAGGTTTACAAGAGGGGATACTTGTAGAGGCGGGGTCGAATACCTCCACCGTGACCCTGCGAGTCGTAGCAGGCGACGAAAAGGGAAGTCTCAAATCTGAGACAGTAAAATACGGTCGCGAGTCCCAAGGGACTCGGACCCGAGAAAGACTACGCTGGCAAGGGCCAGTAGCATGTAAATAAGAGAGATCCGTCCTTTCTTCAGAGAGGACACCCCACAAAAGAAACAAAAACCGTAATGTTCAACAGTAATAAATATCTGGTCATGAGCCCCAGATGGGGCTCGATACCAGGACTTACTGACTGACTGACCGTCAGTCGCAATGTGACTTCGACTTCGAAGACAGCGTCCAAGGCAATAACAAAGAATTGACAGTGATATTATGGAGTCGGACTTGGGTTCGCAGAATTCGTTCAATAGATGAAGTGCTGAAGATTATATTTTATGTGTTATAGTTACAGTAATCTTTATGGTTGATGTAATTATTTCTAATTACGACTGGTGAAGATCCAATAAATAGATTCGCCAGTCCAAACCCTCTTTATTAGTCACTAATATACATCATAATATTTTGAGCATACTCTGGTTTGCATTTTGCATCCAACACGAAGGCATCAGAAGGAACTAAATTTTCAGTTTAAGAACTCGATTTCCTAGTACCAGTTTCACTGAAGTTTATGTGAACCCCGAAGCCGTTCTGGGCACTTTAACTACGGAAAACTTCCTCGCCGCTTCTGGGAATCCAGTCCCGTTCCTACGTCGCGTAGCCGGTTCAACGGATCTCTCATTACAGCTGAGATGAACCGCTGCGTTGTCGTCTGCATTATTCTGCACAGAGTAAAGAAGAAGAGTGAGCTGCCACTGGTACTATACTGATTTTAGGGCGTGTCTAGTGGCAACTGAACGCTATGTGAAGTTTTCGCGTTCACATATAATTTATTTCAGAAGCAACTACAAAAACAGTGAAGTTTATGGCTGCCTTCAGTCCTTCTGCTCATTTTCAGAACACACAAAACACAACTGAGTCGTTACTGCAGTTCATCTACGCCTATCAACCATAACCTCTTGCTCAGGACAGTGGTTGGGACTACATAATCTGGCATTATTTATGCTATTACCTACACTATCTCGTGCTCAGTTTACTTTGGCTCAATATTGCTGTAGATTACAACCAGGAGAAGCTGGATGTAGCTTCAATCAATTTAATCCACTCTGTTAATCCGTATAATTAAATATCTATGAAATGGACAATGATAGACCCTAGATATTAATAAAGACATACCTGGCCAAATACCGAACATTTACATATATCCCGTTGTTACGGTCATATTTAGGACACTGAACCTATCTGGACGTGTAATTTATTTGTGAATTGAGTGAATGAGAAAGTGATCAGGACCTGTATGAGTTAACTAACGCAAAGGCGCCACTATGTTGTGGCATCAGCTGCTGGAGAGCGGTCTTCTCATCAGTTATAGAGAAATTTGTCAGGAATTACAGTTCTTCTAATATCAAAGGCGATATTGCATGCGTTGTAGAACAAGTGAAATTCAAGAACTAATAACTCGTTTAGAAAACAAATCCTCTCCCTTTACTTCCTGCGATGATTTAAGTAGCTTTGTTCGTCTACAATATCGTGCACGATAATCCGCAGGCAGCACCGTTACAACCATTAATCTTCGTCAAACAAAACAGCGCAGACAACAATGTTGACATGCTGCAAGTACACCTTCGACCCATTAACGTAGTTAGCTACCATTTTAGCCCCTGATCCTTAAACATGCTCTGTTTTAAAATAGTATGATCCGCTAAAACTTACGATTGAAATATAAGCAAATTTCAAGTTATTAAACCCGTCGTGTCAATTGCACTATTACCACAGACGGCCAGTTGCACTCCAATTCCATCATTATAACATGTCCCTAGTAACATTCTTAATGTTATCCCTTAGTCTCCTTAACGATTTTTGGGAAGATTTTTTTTCCTTGGCACTACAGCCCCAGTGGGCCTAGGTCCATGAACTTCTCCGTTCACTTCGGTTTTTCTTGATCTTACACATTCGGTAGGACTCCTTGGGCGGGTGATCAGCTCGTCGCAAGGCCTCTACCTGTACACAAACACAGAAAAACGCACACACACAAACTAAACATCCATGTCCTGAGTAGGATTCGAACCCACGATCCCGGTTTCCAAGCGAGCGAAGACAGTACGTGCCATAGACCGCTCGGCTACCGTGACCGTCTTTGAGAAGATTCCCCCCCCCCTTGGCACTACAGCCCCAATTTGTGCCTAGGCCTACCTCCATGAACTACGTTCACTTCGGTTTTCTAGATCTTACACATTCGCTAGGACTCCTTGGGCGGGTGATCAGCTCGTCGCAAGGCCTCTACCTGTAGACAAACACAGAAAAATGCACACAAACATCCATGCCCTCAGTAGGATTGAGAAGATTTACCCACCACTAATTCTGATTTCATTCCCCTGTTCCATCCCAGCTGCATTCCCAGCCCAGCGTAAAACCCTTGATTTAAAAAGAAAAATCTGCGTTACTCATACAAACTACGAAATTTAGGTTACACGTAATATCCAGCACTGCCAAATTTTCTTGTCCTTCTTGGATCCACATATTCTTCTACTTCCACAATTCATTGCTCGAATGTCTTGATATATATTCGGAAGGTATTCGGTTTGAATCTCGGTTTAATTACCTGTACTCCTGAGTTATTTCCCCAAGTTACAGAATGTTATCAGACAAATCCTTCCGAATTAATTCCTACTCTGAATTCACGATAAAATCTTCGTTTACTTGGATACTACATAACCTATTCAGTCGATAAAACATCTCCATTTAGCTAAATATAATTGACATTTTTGGAGTACACATGTCAACGCTCGTTCAAGAGAGATTCAGAATGTGGACCGCACTGAAGGACACATTTTCAATTTTGCATGTTTTACTATTGTCGGGGGTATGACGCGACAAATAACTTCACGCCGTATTTGATATAGCGAATTTTATTTCACATTCGCACTTACAGTCACCCAAATTACAGATTTACGATTACTGCTATCTGCAGTATCACAATTAGTACACTCCAAATGCCACAATACAACTGACTAGTTGCTGGCTAACTCGGAACTAACTCGGAGGTAGCTCGAGGACTAACTCGGCGGTAGCTCCAGGACTAACTGACTCGTAGGTAGCTCCAGGACTAACTGACTGTGAATAGCCTTCGCTGCTCCTTATGTAGCCTCGATCGGACAATACGGAAAACGGCCACGTAATAGGCACCCTTGTTGCCTGGCGCTGTGTTGCTAGTAACGCTAGCGGAAGTAACCGCTGTTACTGCTTGGTGACGTCACCGCTGTTGACTCGCGTTGCCTAGCGACCAGGATGCTAGGACTCGGCTAACATCGGCACGCTTCGGCTTCGCTCGGCGCATCACGGCTGGCGGGGGGTGGGGGAGGGGCGTCATCCATAGCTCAGCATGTCACACTATCATTCCTACCTTCTCTATTGTACTTTCAAAACCTCTTCTGAAAAATCCAGTCGCGAAGCAGATACAATTCTGAAAATTCAGAAATTAATTTCATTGCTTTAATTATATGTAAGACGTATTTAAAGATATTTAAAATAAAGTTTAATCGAAGTTCCTAACCTCATTTTATGCCACATACTAAATTTTGCGTGATGGACTGCTTTTCAGAGATTCGATAATATTCTATTTCGATTTATGTTTCATGTAAAATATAATGTCATATTGCACAGATATGAATGGAACCGCACAAATACTCGATTTAACCGCAATCAGTGACTTCAGACATTAACTTAACAGACAGTTAAGATTACAGAAAATTCACCTCATGAGTTCGCTTTAAGGAATAAAGCGTCAAGTGTACATATTCTACAAATTTCCGTGTATAATTGAGAAAGGCGACTAAGTAACATAAAACAGGGGTGAGTTATAGCAGCATATGGCGAGGCAAGTTTGGAGACATATTTACCAGATTTCTCTCTTGGCCTAGGGGGACAGAATGGAGGGTGGGTTCTGCTGGTACAGTGCCAAGATTCTGCAGCATCTCGATCGTTATGTCTCCTCCCTTTATGGTCACGTCTCACCATTAATAGCAGTGAGGATGCTTAAGAGAAATTGTTCTGCGAGGAGGCTATAGGAGAACATATCATATTTAAGCATTGAGAAATGGACAGGATCAGAAGGTGGCCGCAATGCGAAAGAGACGCGACTCGAGCCGTGCTCCAAATATTTCACATTCCTATAACGAAGAACGCGCGTTATAAAAACGGACCGGAAAAAATTTCAGACTTTAACTGATAAAACTGACTCACTGTTTGTGAAGTGATCCTTAGTAACAAACCAAATCCTGATTCAGGAGGGAATTAAGAGGAGATTGAATTCGGGCAATGCTTGCTACAGTTCAGTCCCATTCTCGTCTGCTGTCTAAAAATGGAAAAATTGTAATATAAAAACCGAAATTTTACCTTTCGTTCTGTATGGGTATGAAACTTGGTATCTGACATTGAGGGAAGAACATAGACTGTTTGAGAACCGGATGCTGGGGAGAATATTTGGGCCGAAGATAGATGAAGTGACAGGAGGTTGAAGAAAACTGCACAATGAGGAGCTTCATAACTTGTACTCTTCGCCAAATATAATTAGAATGATCAAGTGAAGGAGGATGAGGTGGGCAGGGCATGTAGCACGAATGGGAAAGACGAGGAATGCATACAGGATATTGGTGGGAAAGCCAGAAGGAACGTGACCACTGAGAAGATCAAGGCGTAGGTGGGTGGACAATATTAAAATGGATCTTGGAGAGATAGGATGGGATAGTATGGACTGGATTGGTTTGTCTCAGGATAGGGACCAGTGGAGGGCTCTTTTGAACACGGTAATGAAATTTCGGGTTCCATAAAATGCTGGTAAGTTCCCGAGTAGCTGCATAAATGGCGGCTTCTCAAAAAAGGCTCAGCTCCATGAAGTCAGTTTTAATTAGCCAGATCGTTGAGATATTTTTCATTCTCATTTAGTGAGAGACCTAGATTTTTATGGAATTCTTCATTTCTTTTGCAATACGAGTTATACAGCGAGGAAACCTGTTTAATCAGATTTTACACTTTATTCTTTTAAGATCATTGGCGAAAATTAAAAAAAGAGAAAAAAGCAACACACGTATATTTCAAAGATTTCTTTGTATCGTTGAACAGGTCTCTCTGCTGATGCTGGTTTACAGATCTACTCTTGCATATTTAATCACACTAGAGATACAAATCTGCACAGAATTATTAATGGATATCTTTATATTTTGCTATATAAATATATAGAAAGAATAATAAATATTGTAGTTTTACTAAGCCCTACATTTTTACTTGTGCGTTACTCTTCTTAAATGATTGTGAAAAATATAAGAATTATTTTAATATAAATGTGCACAGCGTTCGGACCTAGTCTAAACTCTCCCAATTCTATAATACATTTTCTTTCGTGATAACGGAATTACTTCTTCTGCCGAAATATCTTAAAATTAATTGTGTAACATGTATTTAGATTTCAGAACATACAGTCACGAAACTCCGTACACTTGGCCTATTTGGCACCAACTAAAATAAAATGTGTAGGGATATATTTTAGAGTAGTAGTAGTAGTAGTAGTAGTAGTAGTAGTAGTAGTATTAGAGGTGGTGGGTTTCCCTATGCACTTAGACCAATTATTGGTCCATTGTGCATCCCCCTTTTAATTTCTACTGTCGCCATACGCTACCGGTAACGGTGCGTGCTATCAGCCCCGTTGAGCCAACGAGATCGGCCC